GGCCTCTAGTGTGTGTGTGTGTGTGTGTGTGTGTGTGTGTGTGTGTGTGTGTGTGTGTGTATATATATATATATATATATGGAGAATCCCATTATCATACTTTAAAAGAATTACCAGTAATTTCTTAATGTCATAAAATGTCCAGTGTTCCCATTCTTCCATTTATCTCAATTCTTTTCTCCATAGGTTTGTTCAAATTTACATCCAAACAGAGGTCAAAGATTATATTTGGTTAAAATATATCTTACATTTATTTTTATCTAAAAGTTTCTGTCCTGTTTCCCCTCAGATAGTTTGTTCTGTAGAGTTTGCCATAGTCTGTATTTTGCTGGTTCTATCTCTGGTGTAATTTAACATGTTCTTTTATCTCCTCTACTTCCTATAAGCTGTTAGATTTAGAGGCTTAATTAAGTGAAGATTCAGTTTTCATAAAAGTATTTTTTGCAAGAATACTTCATAAGTTCTGCCTCTTTATTGCTACCTACGTGTCACACCTTTTAGTGATGTTAACTTGATCATTGTAGTCAGTTTTTTTAGATTATTGTCAATTTTTAAAAATGTTTGCCATTTGAGGAATGTGAGATAGTATTTTACTATTGTTTCAATTTGTATTTCCCTCTTTACTAGTGAAGTTGAACATCTTTTTGTTTGTTACCTTGATATCCTTTTTCTTTCTGAATTGCCTGTTCTTAGCCTTTGCCCATTTTTCTGTTTGGTTGTTTCTTTATTTAAAAAAATTATTTATGGTTCTTCATATTCTACATTTTAATCTTTTGTTAGGTGTCTTATAAAATACTATTTTTCAAACTGTTGTTTTTACTTTACCTTTATGGTGCCTTTTAAATACAGGTTTTACATTTTAATGTCAGCTTTATCAACATTTTAATTTATGATTTGCATTTTTGTTTTTATATTTTAGAAGTTTGCTGTACCCTAGAATAGGATATTCAACTTAAAATCTTAACTGTATAGTTTTTACATCTACTTATTTGTATTATCTATTACTGTGTAACAAAGTACCCCGCACTTGAGGCTGAAAACAACAAGCATTTACCTCACAGTTTCTGGGGGTCAGCCGTCCAAGGATGGCTAAGCAGGTGGTTCTGTCTTAGGTTCTCTTACAAGCCTGCAGTGAAGGTGTGGGCTGGAGCTGCAATCATCTCGTGTGTGCCTGGGGGGGATCTGCTTCCAAGCTCACACATGCAGCTGGTAGCAGACCTTATTCCTTGACACAAGGGTCCCTACACAGAGCTGCCTCGCTACGTGACGCTGATTTTTCCCAGAGAGAGCAATCCAAGCAAGAGAGTATTCAAGATGGAAGTCACAGACTTTTTAAATAACCTAACATAAGAAATAATGCCCTGTCAATTCATCTATGTTCGTTGGAAGTTAGTAAGTCTAGCCCATGCTCAAGGGAAGGGAATCACGCAAGGACATGAGAACTAGGAGGCAGGGATCATTGGGGGTCATCTTAGTGACTGGTTATTACATTATTATAACAGCCCAAATAGAAAAAAGGAAATAAGTAATTATAAAAGGAAATATAATTTTAAATGACATTATTTATTCACAAATACAGCATGTGCTAATTTCTATTTATAAAATAGTAAATTTTATTAAAATCATATGTATGTTGTAAATACCAGTTGACATTCAGTAAATGTAATACTCATTTACTTAACATAATGTGGTACGTTTGCTAAATATTACAATCAACTTTTAAATTTATTTGTACACTTTTTTTTACCCAGATTAATAAATATTTATTACATATATGAATGAACAAAGTGAATAATATAAAAACAAGATGAAATGCAATTTTGGTTGACTTTCAGCAGTTTATAGGGCAAATTTACACTTTTGTTTAATTAATGGACATGCAAACTTTTATCAACCAGCTTCCAAAATTTTAATAAGTTGTATTGCTGTATTCTTTCCTTAAAGTTGTGTAATAAAGTATAGATTTTGATATAGCCACCACCAAGTTATTTTTAATCTAGTACCCAGAATGGATAGATACTTGATATAATATCAGTAACTGGTCTTGGCCCACAGGGAGTAGAGCCGTGGTAATGGAGTGTCAGTATGGGCCAAGGAGAAGAGGTTTCCAGTTAAAAAAGATCAATGAGCAGGAAAGCAGGCCTTGTCACCTCTACAAAGCCACTTGTCCAGCCCGGTAAGCTTTCATTTCTTTCTTTCTTATTAAGTACTTATTTTTGAATAGCTAATATTCACTTTTTAAAGTTTTAGCTCCAAAAAATATACAGTGAAATCTGATTTTCTTCTTATCCTTGCTTCCTTGTCCCTCTTTAAAGCAGCAACTCTTACCAGTTTCTTGAATAACCTTCCAAAGTTATTCTGTGTATATGAATATGTATATATATATATGTGTGTGTGTATATTCATATACATATATGTTCTCCTTTACTCTCATATATATGTGTATGTGTGTGTGTACACTTTATTTTAATAAGTCGTATTGCTGTATACGACTTTACCCTCATAAATGTTAAATATCTCAGTAAAACCTACTAATATTTTCTTTTTTTAAAGTTCGGTAGGAGTGTACCTTCTTTCCTTCTATAAATTCACACTGATTTATTTTCATTCTGAATGCCCATTGTTATTGTTTACTAGACAGCTATTATGCTTCAGACTAGTTTGAATGTAATGATATATATACTACTATACACTTTGCTTTTCTTCATTCCAAATATATCCGAAAGCTGTCATAACTGTATATAAAAGCACTGGTTATTTCTTTAAAAACATTTTTACGTTTACTTTTAAAATTGAGATATAGTTGACATATAACATATTAGTTTCATGGCTCCTTCTTTTTAATAGCCATATAATAGTCTATTTATAGACTATTTACTTAATTTATCATTTATTTAATTAGACTTGTAAATTTTCAGCTGATTTTTGCATAGGGTAATAGATCTAAAACTTTACATGTAACTTGGGAGAAAAATTTCTATGTATGAAGAAATAATTTTATTCTCTATTTTTTTTTTTGTGAAATATATTTTATTGATTTTTTACAGAGAGGAAGGGGGGGAGATAGAAAGTTAGAAACATCAATGAGAGAGAGGCAAGGATTCTCTATTTTTTTTATAAGTACTTCCTGAGTATCTACTCTGTGCCCAGCAACTACATTTGGGTGCCATGGAAAGTAGGGAGACTAAAAGAAGTATAAGATTTTCCTTAATCATGTAGAACTTAAAATGATGTTGGACTAGATCAATAAACAACACTTTTAGAGGACATAATAGTATACAGTATGGATTAGCTAACTATCTTCAGAGAGAGAATATAACCATGCAAACACATTAATAGGACAGAATGTATGGAAAGCCTGGATGCTGAGGTTTAGATTGAATTTGGATAGGTAGAGAGTTAAAGGAAATTAACTGTAGGCTAGGAAGACTATATAAATAAAGATAGGCATGATTGTATATTTGGTACTAGTATTAGAGGAAGAAGGATGATTTCTCCATTGAGGTGATATAACCTTCATAGGAAAAGCAATTTTATATTTGAGGTAATTGAAAGTTAGATTAGGTAAAAAGTGTCTTACCTGGTTTGGCTCACTGGATAGAGTGTCAGCCTGCAGACTGAAGGGTCCCCGGTTCAATTCCAGTCAAGGGCACATGCCTGGGTTGTGGGCTTGATGCCCAGTAGGGGGCATGCAGGAGGCAGCTGGTCAGTGATTCTCATCATTAATGTTTCTCCCCCTCTCCCTTCCTCTCTGAAATCAATAAAAATATATATATCCT